GAGCTGCAACCTGGATGGGCCCACTCTGACCACTGGGCACACTGTCTCCTGGATCTCTAAGGAGGTGCTAATCTAGCCTCTGCCTGAGGCTATCCAGCAGGAGCCAGCTGTGATGCAATGCAAGTTGCCCTGGGGCCTTGGGCCAGCTGCAGTTTGTTAGGTAATGATCAGATTGCAAAAGGCCAGGCCTTTCATATGCAAAAGCCTTCTGCAGGGCTTGGGCAGGGAAGGGTCCCAGGGGATCAACAGGGCGGAGCGAACAGTTATGGCTGCTCTCAGTCCTTCCCTCAGAGGCCCTGCTTCTCAGTATCCAGGCAATCGCTGCTAGCACCCCGGAGAGAAAGCTGCCCTCGAGTTCCGACTGATCCCAGACAGTCTAGTTTCTCCTGTATGAGTCTGGGTCCCCAGAGACTCACCCGGAACTGGAGCTCAGAGCTTGAGACTCCCTCCCAATTGAAAAAGACAACCGTGTCCTCAGCCACCAACCCTCTCTGCATGCGCCTCTGTACCTCTGTATTTTACTTCCGCACCGCACCTCCTCTGAGTCTCGGTATGCTTTTCTCTTTCCTTCTAGTTGTAGAATTTCCATTCAGCCAGCCTTCCTGTGGTTCTGGATGATGTCCGTTCCGTCTTTTAGTTGTATTTTTGAAGTGGTTGTGCAAGGCAGCAATCTCCGGTGTTTACCTATGCTGCCATCTTGGTTTGTCCCCACTCAGTTCTCTTTTGATAGTACTTTCTTTATTTTGTCTCCTTTTTCATCTTCTTTAATTCTCACAGCACCCTGTGAGGTGGGTATTACTAAGATATGATTAAATGAATGAATGGTTTCATATTAAACCTCAACAATAGCTTTGTTTTCTGATCAAGCTTCTTACTTGACTGACTTCCTTTAAGGCTTCCTGATTGGGTGGGCAGGAAGAGAGACCAGGGGACAGGCACCTGCAGTCCAGCTCAGGCCCCCATTTCTCAGGCCCCTAAATGCTCAGCAGGGGAGGCTGAGCTGCTTTCAGATTCAAGCCTTTTGTGCTTTCGCATACCTCTGGCCTCAGGTGGTGGGGCCAGACCTGGCTGGCGCTGGGGTCTTGGCTGAGATGTTGTTCCACCAGTGGACACAAGTTCATTCAGAGGGTATGACTACATTCCGGAGAGAATATTTCCCACATCAAGATGTCAAACGACCACACATCACTCTGGGTAGTGTAAGCCTTGTAAAAAATGGCTTTAGGCGCCATCCACTTGAGAGTCTTACATCTCTATTCCAGATATAGTCAGGGTCTTTGTAGATGTCTCTGGCCAAACCAAAGTCACAGGTCTTCACAATGTCATCATTAGTTAGAAGGATGTTCTGAGCATCCAAGTCCTGATGAATTTATTTTCTGGAAGCAAGGAATTCCATACCCTTGGCCATTTGGAAGCTATAACAGATTAGGTTCTCCAAAGTGAAGGCCGTGCTCGTACAGATTATTGGAATCTACTTGATGAGTTATTGTGGCCCCCAGAAGATGGCCATTAATTCTTCCTCCTCATCAGATTCACTATAGCTCTTGTTCTCAATGATTATTACAGATAGTACTTTCCCTTTTCCCTCTTAGAATTTATTTCTGCTCATACCTTGAAACTGTCACTTCTGCTAAATCTACTTTTCTAACATGACCTCATTTTAATTTCCAATATTTTACTGACAGTTGCTCTGTTGTACATTTCCTTTGTTGTA